ACTCTAGCCACGTGCCTTACAATCATTGGAGATTCAGATACCAAAGTGATGTGGGCCGTTGGATTAAGCATCGCAGCGGTGCTGACCTCCGTAGCGACGTTCTCGATTGGAGCTGGTCCAATCACGTGGGTTTACAGCACAGAGATCCTTCCCTCGAGGCTACGCGCCCAGGGTGCGGCTATGGGAGCTGTGGTTAATAGAATCATGAGCGGGGTCATCTCAATGACGTTCCTATCCTTGTCGAAGGCCATGACTATTGGTGGGGCCTTCTTTCTGTATGCGGCCATGGCGGTCGCTGGATGGATCTTTTTCTACACTATGCTCCCAGAAACACAGGGCAAAACCCTCGAGGAAATGGAAGGGTCTTTTGGTAAATTCAGAGAAAATTCCAACACCGACGTAAAATAAAGCACCAACGCTGAAATTATGAACACAATATTAATGGATGTAAACTTAAGATTTGACGAATTATCAGCGCACGTGCAACGCTAAGAATTTTATGTATTTCCTGCTCCTGAGGGGGGGGGGGGAAGTCAATGCCAAAGTTAGCAAAGTTTTTTTTATAGCTAAAGTATGGAATCTTTTTATTGGATTTAATCCTATTCAAGGTATTTTCAGACACTAAATGCAGTTTGTCTTAATAGGAATTTAAACATTGATCCGTTACGTTATGAAAAACTAATACCTTCTATTAGACTCAATCTCTGTTAATAGTTAGCAAAGGAACTGAAGACAAAGAAGGAAAGCAAAGTAAGTATCCGGTGGGTTTTCAAAGACAAACCCAAATACTCTTCCGGTCCTTAATATAAGACCCAATTCTTGAGTTGATTTTGGTCCTAAATATAAGACCCATTTCTCATATTTATCAATTTTCTCTAAATTACCCCTATAAATACTCATTCAACCATAATCAAATAGAAAAGGGAGATGAGGTATTAAAAAATGATTATGGTGTTTTAGGAAAAATGTGTCACTTTTCTTATAATTAACTAACTCACCTAACTTCCTTAATCTAATCAAATTAGTTAAATGGGTCTTATATTAAGGACCGGAGGAGTAGCTTTTAGGAAACCCAATGTCAAACTCAAATAACTGTCTTATTTTTAGCCTTGTGCCTTAACGGTATGCAAGTTTTTCTGGTAAATAGAACATAGCGGGTTTGATTTTGTTTGTAGTATCAGATTGTTAATAATGTTTGTTTTTTTAATTAAAAAAAGAAAATTCCATCATCAGTTATGGGCTTGTGTCAAGATGATATGGTTTAATTGCAATGGATGTGTCTCCAGAACCCCTGAACCAGTGAAGTTTTTCCAGCACAAAACTCAAAAATAAAAGAAATTAAATACCGACTTAAACTCAGCAATATATCACTTAGCAGCCCTTTTAAAGCCAGAAAATTATGCCCAGAAATAGAGCAACAAAATTTGGAATGATTATATATACCTCTGCTCACTGCCAAATACTACAAATTACACTGATAAAGAGAAAAAACAGATTACAATTCAAAAGTTAGGATTGAACAAAAGATTCGAAGTAAACTTTAACGTTGGACACATACATAGATGCATGTCAGGATATATAATGCTTATTGAGGAGGGTTCAAGCTGGTGAGGATGGCACTTCATTTCTTCACTGGAGCAAGAATGGAGGAGAGTCATCGAATAAATGAACTAGCTAGAACCACCGTATCAGGTCGTCGGCGACGGAGAGTGAGGATGAGCAAGAATAGTCCACCAGAAAGCAGATACCCAAATGGAGCAAACCGGAAAATGTGAGGACCGTGGGAGAATCAAAGAAAATCAGCGTCCTCAGATTTTCCTTCAAACCGATTCTCCCACGAAGAAACTGTCGATGGTCGAAGAAATGTAATACAGCAGAAACAACTACTTTTCTTGAGAAAAAAGTCACTTTAATATTGGATAATATTAACAACTCAAATCCAAGTAATAATATTACCTCCGGTTTTAATTACAAGAGCTAGTTGACTAATTTGAGGAGATTAAGAAAAGAAGTTAAGTTAATTATTTGTAATAAATATGTATTGTCTTTCCTAAAATATTTTTGCTAATCAAGTGTATTGGTTAAAACTACCATTGTTAGGAGAATTAACTTGAGAAAAAATGCATAAATATAAGAGACAAAGTAAATTGTGGTTTTACAGTTAGGACCAAAATAAAAGTCAAACAATTCTTATATTAAAGACCGGTAGTATTAACTAAGCAGTCTTGTTTTGGATAAGTATTACCCAAAACTTGCAACACCGTCGTCATCAGTTCCATGGAAGCTTCTTCTCCAAGCACCCAAAATCACTACAAATAGAGCACCACCCAGACCGAGACGCACACACAAAGTGAAAGACCAAATTAAAACAGAGGCGAAGGAGATACATTTGAAGCACTCCAGGTAACAAAATTTTCTTTTCTCACTCTCTTTCGATCCATTTTATTTTCATCTTTTTCCTATCATCATCTGCTTAAAATCTTAGTCGAACTAGTGTAATGTAATCTAGCGTTTTAGTGTGTGTGAGTTTCTGTACTCTAATAATGGCTTTTTGTGGTGGGTTTTGCTTCTGAAAATCATTATTTGTGTTCACTTTGAACTTGAAGGTTTTCTGCGCCATTAGACGAAGAGGAAATGATACCGCTAGCTAGGAATGGATTCATACTTGAACTTGTAAAGGAATACTAATAATCAAGTTTGGCTAAAAGAACTCATAAGAATAACCATTACTTGAAGTTTTAAGATTGAAAATTATGTAGTTCTTTTGTTTAATGTTGTTTCAGATATGCCGGGGACACGACACATAACGGAGGTGAAATTGACTCTAGTGCATACTCCGGGGATCGGAGACAGGCTGATTATCTCCGGAATTCAGACCTACACGGTGACTCAGATGCATTGCCGCCCCAATCCTCCTCCGCCACCACCGCTATCTCCGCCGGAGGAGCGATCTAACGAGTCTATAGTTATTATGTATTACTAACATGTCGTCTTAGGATTCACAGTCATTTAGAACAACATCTTGTCATCATGTTAGGGGGGTGGACGTTTTACCTATGCATGTCTATGTGTGGCATATATATAATCTGAAGCAGTTATATATATCCTGGTATGACCTCCTCTTATATATGTTTTACGGTTTAGTTGTGTGATGCCTATTAGCAAGTAGGCTTCACTTAATAAACTCTTCACAGTTTGTATCACAGAAATATAATTCATTAATGACATGATGTCTTACTTATGCTTCACCTCTCTTGTTTCCTCTTTCTTGAACAAGTTGTTCTTTTATGAACTTCAACTATACAGTATGGTTTGAATTGTTCTTGAGTAGCTTAAAGCATCGATCGGAAGAAACAGAACTGAAATTCAACAGTAAGAAACAGAACTCTCGCAATTAATCTAGGAAAAAAATCATTCTTCATGGCCCTGATAAGCACTTGACAGTCAAATTCAATTTTAGGGGATGTTTGAATGAAAATCAAATCATAGTTTCAAAAGTGTTTTTACAGTTTACAAACTAAATATGTAGAGGAATTTACCTCGTTTTGCAGAAAAGTGCTTCTGAGAAGCACTTTTGAGTATTGCCAAACACCTCCTTAATATTACCAAGATTGTGTTACATTACTTTGGGCCATTTGAATAGAAATTAAACTACCGTTTTAAACAAGTGATTTTGTTTTATATTGGTTTACGTAAAAACACTTTTATTTTTTTGAGTTTCCAAACAACCCAAACACATTTTTACTATTTTGGGAAATTAATCCTTTGGTTCTTATAGTTTTCACTCATTTACAATTTAATCTTTATATTTTGATCCAATATAACTCAATTTCTGAAATTTGACTTGCTGCAACTCGGTTCCTATACTATTAACAATTTTATAATTTAGTCCTTGTGTTGGACTAAATTATAAAATGTATAAAATTATAGGGACTGAGTTGCAACGATCAAATTTCAGAGATTGAGTTACAATCGAGTTAAAATTATAAGAATTGAGTTGTATCGAGTCAAAGTATAAAAACTGAGTTACAAATGTGTCAAAACTATAAGGACTAAAAGATTAATTTTTCCTTATTATTTATGTCCTACCTTTTATTTATTACTCTAACAGTAGGGAGCCATAGTGTTTAAATTTTTATCATGTCCTACTCTGGATATAATTTCAATATCATATAATACCAAACATGGTTACATCTAATGTGGTAAAAAAATATGAACAAAAAGAAACATAATTGTAAATACAGGGGACTGATTTGCTTTCTTTAAGCAACATAATTTTTATAAGTATATGATCATATCAAATTGCATTTCTCAAGGAAAAAAAGTATATATTTGGTCATTTAACTTTATATGAGATTTCAGTTTGGTTCCTTAATTTTAAAAACTATATTTTTAGTCTTTTAACTCTAAAATTGTTAGTCTTAAATAATAATTTTTTTTAAATACTCACGGTTGTTTTGAATATTAAACTTAACATGTTAGTATTTAGTAATTTTTTATCAGCATTTAAGAACTTAATATCATCATTTTTTATTAACAATTTTAATATTAGAGGACTAAAAGTTTACTTTTTAAAGTTAAAGAATCAAAATAAAATCTTGTGTAAAGTTAAAGGGTTAAAAGTATACTTTAGCCTGATTTCTATTTATTTCTCCGATCCTTAATATAGGACCCAATTCTTGAGTTGGTTTTGGTCCTAAATATAAGATCTATTTATCATATTTATCAATTTTCTCTAAATTACCCTTAGGGATACTCCCTCAACCATAATCAAGTAGAAGAGGGAGAGGGGATATTAAGAAAGATGATTATGGTATTTTAGAAAAATGTGTCATTTTTTTTATAATCAACTAACTTATTTAACTTTTTTAATCTAATCAAATTAGTTAAATATGTGTTATATTAAGGACATGAGGATTATATCAAATCAAAAGGGCGAAGTTACACGTGTCTAAATTTAGCTTCAGTTTGACGGAAGGACGATGCGCCGTTAGGGGCCTAGGGCAATCCCGTGCTTCCGGACCTCGCTTGCTTCCTATTCTCTGCCTTCATAGTTCGTCCTAGACAAAGCGACTAGTCTGGTTTCTTGTTTCCCCAACAGAACGCAGAATCATCTGAAATTAGGGTTTCTCGGCGATGGCATTGTGTGGCCGAATCAGATCAGGCATTTGTCTCGTCAACAAATTGACGCATCTTACTTCCGATTCTATCTCTGCTCAGAGATCCACACTTCCTCGATCCCTGATTGCCCCCTTCACTTCCCTGGTAACTGAGCTCAAACAACTTTTGAAACCATTTTCTTTGCAATGTTTTTGATTGGATGTCTTATTTATATCTTCGATGTAGTTAAACGATGTTTGGTTTCTGCAGAGTGCCTGCGGGGACGCTTAGATTGTTTAAGGAATTGAAGTTTTTTTTGTTTTTGTTTGATGTTGACGGAAGTTTTTCCAATTATTCGAATGATTTGGAGTTAAAAGTTTTCGTTTTTGTCTCATTTTTGTGGGTCAGTGCGACAGGTTTTCTTCCCCCCTCCCTGGTTCCTTTGGCCCTAGCTGATGATTTTGGATCTGTTAATGGCATCGTTAGCTTTTAAGGAATGTTTCCTCCTTTTTGCATACTCAAAAAGATGGGTGAATAGTTGATGACGAGTTGTTTAATCTCCAAACCCTTTTTCTCTTCAATTTTATTTTTCCCTTGTGTTTTGAAATTGGGACATGGAATTTATGAGACTGTTTTGTTATGTTCTACGAATGGCTATAGCCATATATTTCAAATGTTTAATAATCTATAACCTTCTGCCAATTGATAATTTAACCGCATCTTATTGTCTTCCCATATTATGCTTGCAGGACTCTAGGAATTATGCCACTGCATCAGGGAAAAAGGATGAAAAAGTAAAGGTAATTGAATATATCTCAGACACGCTTGCATACTGTGAAGGGAAATGGGAGTTGTTGACTATGTATCTAGTTATCTAATTTCTTGTGAGTATGCATATGCTGTGATTACGAGAAGAACAAGGGAAAAAATTTTTTTTTAAAAAAAAGGGATTGGCCCATCGACTGAAAATAAATGCAAGTAATGCAAGATATCTTGTGTTTCCCTTCACATGTCAGTGTTATGATATTCATTGCGTTAATTTACTTGTTTCATGTTTTGTTGCTTCTTGATTGCTCTGTAGGTACCACTGGCCTTGTTTGGAGGTTCAGGAAACTATGCCTCTGCTTTGTATATTGCAGCAGTAAAAGCTAATGCATTGGAAAAGGTTGAGTCTGAGGTTCTTGACTTTGTTGAGGCAATAAAGAAGAGTCCTAAATTTTTACAGTTTACAAAGGACTTGTCTGTGCCTAAAGATATCAGAGTTAAGGCCATCGAGGAAATTTCTAAGGAAGCTAAATTTTCAGATATTACGAAGAACTTCCTTGGTATTACAAGCTTACCTTTATTCGATTGGCAAAGTTATTGCTGTGTTTATAATGCTTAAACGAATATTGAAATATGTTTTATCTTGGTTTGAATGGCATGTAATTTAAATGCCCTAGCTTGTTATGGATCTTTATAGCATCAGTGCAAAATCCATACGTATCAATGAAAAAAGTGATCCTCTGATGATAAGTCAATACAGACCATTCCCCTAATCAACACAATGTTGAGATTTATGGGATTTGTAAATTTCTTTCTGGGTCATTATTTTTAGAAAAAGATAGAGTAAAATTATGCTTGCATTGCTGCTTTTGCAGGCTTACTGAAATCTAATGGCCATGTTTAAACCATAATTTTTGAAATCAAACTGACTTTGTTTGAGCCCTGCTTGATTCAGTCACCATTTATGTCTTATATAGATTATCGCTGGTCCGAAATTCTTTGTTCTGTTTTATCTGAGCAGAAAACTTAAGTAAATTTCCATAGGTGTCTACTATTTGGTTCTCAGATAACAATTAGGCTTGTGGAAGGACTTTTTTGGAAGACCCAATCATAGGATGTCTAACTGTAAAAGTTATACTTGTGTCATTTAGTTTCTGGAGAGCCAGATAAGAAACACTTGAAATTGTACCTATGTTTTGTCATTTATTTATTGTGTTAATGGACCAATACTAGTGCTATTTGACATTTGTTTAGGGATATTACTTGAATGCTTTTATTACTTATTTGTCTTTTAATTTTTTTGCAAAATTTGCTAGAACCTAGAAGTATGGTGCTTATCTTAAAAAATGCATGTAATATGCTACTCGTATAGTTGAACAAGGTAGAGTTTTGATCTTTTATCAACTTACGTGCATGGCGCAAGTGAATCCTCTTTTTTTTTTTTGGCCAACTGGTGCAAGTGAATCTGCTTATTACCTTTAATGATAATCCCAAATGCTGCCTCATTTTTTCTAGTCACTTGACAGATTGGTTTGCTTAGTTCCCTTATATTTTTGTAAACTATCCTGCTTGAATATTCGATTCTTTTAGTTCATTCTAATATTTGTATTCTTTCATGGTACGTAACCTGATCATCCAAGGAACTTCATTGCGCTTACTTGAATATTTTATCCACTGCTAATATCAAGATGCGACCTGCCTTAGCGTGTCAACCACTGCATTATTTTGGTTTGATTCTTTGCTAGCCAGAAAGCTATACCTTAGAAACATAGTGGGTGGTATTCCTTTATCTTCCACTTACTGTACTTAACTGCCGATTACATTTAATGCAATTGGCTTTCTGCTATCTGCTTCTCAAAATTGGTAAAATGAAACATAAATTGTGATGTAAAGCAGCACTGGAATATTTTCCTTTCATTCACAAGTAGCGTACAGTGAGTAAGAGACAGCTCGTAGCAGTCAAAACTCCATATAAAACGATCTATATGAAGTGAAACCAGATTACTAAGTCAAAGAGAGTGTTTGAGAGGCTAGAGTAGCACTCTCCCTCATGGCAACCCAGCCTTCAATGGTCAGCTTCTGACCCTTTCAGCCCCTCAGCCCTGTAAATTAACTCCCTGAATATCCTATTCTGCTTCACAACCTTAATCATTTCTTTGATTCCCTGATTCCTTTAGCCTCCATTTCTATTCTCTATCTGTCCATCTTTGGTTACACAATCATCCTCATGGGGTATCTATCCCTAATTCCCATGCCTATGCCATCTAGAATATACCTGTGATTTATCACATCATCATTCTTTTTATCGTCCAATGAGCTTGAACATTTGATTATAATTGTTCAGTTTTATGTCTCAAAATCTTGAGCAAGGTTCCTTAAATTGTCATTCTTCAATATTTTTTGTATGTCAATCTTTCTTAATTTATGTTCCTTCTACACACCTCTCATTAACACTTTAGAAAATGTGGCTTAACTACAATTAGATATTTTATTCATCTTAGATTTGACTTGGTAAAAATCCTGAGCTTGTTTTACAGCCATCTATCATTTACTATAAATGAAGCATTCATTTGGGGTAATCATCCTTATTCATCAAACCTTTGAATATTAAGGAAAGGGCTCTCATACCTCGCAAGGTGTATTGTCCATGGTAGCTGCATGATCTCCATGGTGGAATTGCATGGGGGTCTGAACTCATCTATCTTAAAGCCTCCAAAGTAAGGTGCCTTTATGGAGCTTGCCTTGGTATCCACCGCCAGCATGTGTTACTGGGGGCATAAACTTTTCTTTCAGTGTGAAAGCACTCCAGAACAGCCCCTCATCTGTAATGCACAACCATGCAGCTTGGTCTCTTACCCTTGAGGCTCCGCCTCCCTGGGATAAAATTATCACAGGCCTTTGTTTGCTCTTGTGCTGTTTCTGCTGAAAGCTTGAAATCTGTTTTGTTTTTTATGCGTGATTTACTGTGTTGGAAGGATCCGTTGATACATGTAGAAGATTTGACAAATATTTCATCACAGGATGATGTACATTGACCAATATGATGAAGATGAATACCATTTTGATTTGAATGCCTAACTAGGGTAATCAAATAAAAATGAAGCTCGGCCAAATTGTTGATGTTCTGGGGAAAAATAAAGCCAAATTGTTGATGGTTCCTTATGTTTGAAAATTATATCGTATGCTGAATTTTATATGATGTATTGTAAATATGATAGTAGATGAATGATACTAACTACTTATTTTAAGATTATAAATGTAAATTTTTGCATTATTTTTCTGCTGATATTGATTTATTGGTTTGTCTCTCTGAAAGTTATCGTGGCTGAGAATGGGAGGCTAAGAAACTTAGATACCATTGTAAAGAAGTTTTCTGAGGTGACCATGGCGCACAAGGGAGAAGTGAAAGCCATTGTGACCACTGTTATTGTAAGTAACACTTAGCTTTTTTTTTTTTTTATTTTACTTGAGGAAAAATTACTGCAACATGTTTTTACTTTGTTTTGAATTCCATTCTGTTGTTAAAAGGATGGCTGGAATTCAGTGATGCAAATGAACATTAATAGACTTATAAATTTGCAGCTGATGTGAGCTATAAACAAATACCAAGAGAGGCATTTTTCAGTTTTCAATTTTCTTTGCGTTATAAATACCTCAAACATCTTTTGGTGACTTGCTTATCTGTTAATTTAAAATTTCAATATGGTAAAATTATGACCTCCACTCCCCATATTGTTGCACGCCCATTAAATCTGTTATATTCTTTCAAAGTAAAGTATTTAATTAAATCAAGTTTGAATAAGAATATCTTCTTCCGGTGCATCCATTGGTGCATCTCTATATTTGCTTATGAAGGAAAACTTTTGAACTCTACTCCATGATTTATAGTCTTGTATTATAAGCTGTCTAGATGTGGTAACTTTTTTAGTGCTTAGTTAGCCTCTGTATTTGACTGTTTCGTTTTATGATTTGAGGTTATGTTATGAAACAATTGGGCAGTAGTTGCATTATCTAACCTTCGTGTGTTGGACCAGCCACTTCCTCCTCAAGAAGAGAAGCAACTGAGAGAGACCCTTCAGGAGATCATAGGCGCAGGGAAAAAGGTTCACATTGAACAGAAGGTATTGCGTCATTATCTTTCTTCCTGATATCTCTCATCACACACGCGCGCACACGCACAAAAATGCCTTCTTAGTCATTATCAACATTCTTGTTTTTGGTTTTTTCAGATTGATCCCAGCATCCTTGGTGGTTTAGTGGTAGAATTTAACCAGAAGGTCCTAGATGTTTCAATTAAGACTAGGGCTAGCCAGATGGAGCGGTTCCTCCGGGAGCCCATAAATATTGGCGACATCTAGATGGAAACAATTTCTTGTTGACATTTGCTTTCGTCTGCAACAATTTCCCTGAACAGTTCAAGAAAGAGATGAAGTAATCTTATTGCTTTTTTGTGTGTTTCTCATATCTGTATTTGTGGGATGCAATGCAAATCTTTTTGCAAATAAAAGCTACTTCCTCCAAACTTCTCATGATGCCTCGGTGCCCTTTGTATGGGATTGAGTATATCTTGATTTGGCCTTTTGAGTTATTGATTTGGTCAAATTACTTCTGTAACATCATCCAAGTCTTAAGCACATGAGCTTTCAAATAAATACACGATGGCCCTCTTGCTAGTTCACTGTGCGTGTTTCATAATTTGGATGCTTATTCAAGCTACCAGTTGATTAGAGAGTTTAATATGTGGAGCAAAATTCTTAATCACTGTATCATATTCTTGGAGTCAAAATGCTTCCATAGCACTCAATTTTGATGAAGGGATGGACTTCGTTTTCTCCTATAACTCCTAACGTGGTTTGCCTTGTGTACCCTTTGACATGATGGGGGTGACGACTCACCATGATGTGACTGGACATTGTTGTTTAACACGTAAAGTAAAATAAAATAAAATGACTTGTATATGAAAAATGTCATGTTTATGCACGGATGAGAACAAAAACGTATTATAATAATAAGAATATAATAAATATTAGAATCCGTTGGCACAAAAAGGGTTGATTATTTGTCAATTCTTCTTTTTTAATAAGATTATTTGTCAATTCTGATGTGGTCAACTAAATAGATGGATATTATAATTGTATATAGAGAAAACCTAAGAGAAAGTGTAGAAAGGATTTTTATTTGTATATTTATAATTTTTTCACGATGGAAAAGAGTAATTTTATATATTTATGTTAAAAAAAGAACCTAAAAAACGTGGCACATAACTACTTGCTAGGCGTTTTGCAGCACTAAAATTGGTGTACTTCAGTTTGTACTCCCATGTTCCCATATTATAGAGTATTCGTCTTTTTACGCTCATGATGCTTTTGAAGTACAGCCTCGGGGGTTTCTTGGGTTTTAGCATCTTTTTTTTTTTTTAATAAAACATTAATTTTGTTCATACTCAAAGATTACATAATAGTAACACCAAGGACACAAGGTTTGACAATAACTAAGTTATTTTTCATTATTTAATAACTAGGAATATAGGTTCTGAAATATGTTAATGTCACCCGGGTTTTAAATACTCCTTATTCTCTACAGTCTAAGGTACATAAATATTCAAGGTGTAAAAAAAAAAAAAAAAGGTACCAATACATTAATCACTTTCAGGTTTGATATAAAACTCTATAAAAGATTTCTCAATTTCACCCTTAATTTCAAGGAATCAATCAATCAATTAATTTCTTATATAATTAAACGTATGTTTTATTTCAACCCACAAATCTACTGGTCTAAGCAAGCAATCAACTTTACACATCGCCATACAATTTTATGTTTTTCTTAATTTTTACAAAGTATTTCCAGACAATACGTGTACATGTGAGTTGTATTTTCTTGTCTTGATAACAAAGTAGAATGTTGCTAGGGACGCCCTACTATGGAAGCTATGGAAACCTCTTCCTTATCCTTTGACACATGTTGTTTGGGGAAACAATGCTTTAGATAGAGATACATTTTGAGTAGCTTCACAGATATTCCTTCCCTCACTTTCTTATATTTTCTTTCTTGGAAAATTATGGAAGAAGTCCCTGTCAGAGAATAGCTAGAAAGATTGAATATAATGAAGTTGAGAATAACTATACTGCCCTTGGAGTATAATGACAAAGACATTCTAATATATGGGTTTGATTTTGGACTGGAAAGTGACTCAGATTATGGGAATTCATCGATCGGTAGTATTTTCCGGGATTCAAGAAATTTTGTTTGCCGGAAAAAAATGGCATGTAGGAAATGTTGTGATTAGGTAATGAAAGGGAATCACACAAAGGGGTATCACTTTACAGCCAGGAAGAAAAGGATCGATGGATGTGTCCATATTTTCATCTTCATATTCAACAACCAACAAAATTAGAGGGAAAAAGAGAGAGAAGTTTATTTATAAAGAATGAGTTTCCTTGTTCATGACTTGATAATAGTGTAACTTACATTTTATTGGCTGAATTATACAAAAATTACCTAAATTTTGAATCTTGTGCAAATTAAATAACTCTTTAACCTTTTAAAAGTTTATAAGAAATTGTTCACAAATTTTTAAGTCTGTCAATTAATTCATTAATGGCGAATGTTATGTACTTGAAAGTTTAGGAGGAGTTTATTATAAAATTTCAAGAATCAGAAAAGTTATCTGCTCAAAATTCAATAGGGATTATATATATGATTTATGCTATTTTATGATTAATATATTGATTGATATTTGATGATTGATGCCTATTGGTTACAACTAATGAAATCTCCAATGTACTTCAACTTAATTATTATAACAAATAACAATAAATTATTGCCGCCCTTCAATTGATTTACTAATTCGGCAGATTAAAGCGAAAGCCTTAGGTCCATCCAAAAAAAAAAAAGAAGAGAAAAAGGTGAAAGCTTTAGATTGTATACTTTGATATATATATATATATATATAAAATAAACTAAAATAAAATATTCTTTGTCATGTATGTTTCACGTTGACGGGAATATTGAATTATAGTAATTAATATGCTTTGATTTATGGCAACCATATATATAATTAAGATTTTGACAAGATATGTAAAGAAATTAAAAAAAGAAGATTGAAAAGGAGATTGCTTTGTTAGGAAGTGGACATCAAATGCTTTAGTTAAAATAAGTAGTTAGACCCTAATGGAAAACATGCAAATAATGTAAGCTATACACTACCTTAAATTACACATATCCCATCAACAAACAATTGTCAAGCATCAAACAATTTAACCTTTGATTTTTTTAAATCCCAACTTAAAAAAAATACCATAACATATATACATTTAATATAGTGTGAGCAGGGATTTTTAATAAAAGGTTTTAATTATTTGCTTTCATATTTTGTTTTTTATCACCATGTCATGTCATTCATTGCATTATATGAAATAACATTATTTTTGAAGCTTGAATCAAATATTATGGCATGCCAATAGTTAAGGGATGGCTCAAAATAGATGATAAAATTTTTTTTTGAATTGAAATATTATATATATATATATATATATATATATGAACACACGTGAGTTTGAAGTCTAAAACTTAAAGAGAGAGGATTATGTGAATTGGAAGCAAAAGGCCTTACGTTTGATAAAAAGAAAGATGATGATTACCTTGTGAGTGAAGTAAAATATATGGAAAGAGTCAAGAATTGAGTCAAAGACAAGAACACCAACCATCCCTCTTCCTGTCTCTTGTTACTTTCTTCTCCATGTATTATTAATGGAGAAAAGTTTTCTTAATTACAATCATTTTATCAAATGACAAAATCTCATTAATTATAATAAGTTGATTATATTATTCATAACGCATAAAATTATGTTTGAAAGTGAGTTATACATATGGCAAAAAAAAGTGAGTTATACATATCATTATTTTTATTAAATTTTAATTATCAATATTAACTTAACTATGTTTGCAATAATATTAGGAAGTCTCAAAAGTTAGTTGAAATAAAAGAACAACTAGTTGGATGAAAAAAATGAGGTCTGCAATGATTTTTAAGGGCTAAGGTGGATCTAACATCTTGAAATATTTTTTCGGATGTATCCAATATTCTAAAGTATTTTGTGATGTATCCGACACCCTGAAATATTTTTTTGAATGTGTCCAGTACCGTAAAGTATTTTTTGATTCATCCAACACTTTAAAATATTTTTTTCTACGTGTATCCAGTACCTGAAAATATTTTTGGTGATCTAGCACCAAGGTAAAAAAAAAAATACTCCAGTACTAGATGCACTTAAAAAATACTTTGGGATACTGGATGTATCACAAAATATTTTAGAGTGCTGGATGTACTTGAAAAATAATTTCAGGGTGCTAGCTGCACCTTAACTTGATTTTTAAAGCAATTGACTTTCCTTTTTTTTTTTTAACCCAAAAGCCATTTTAAAGTTGAAGCAATTCTTTTTAGCTTTTAACTTTCGGTTTTTGGGTTTTCTTCGTACTTGAAATTTTCAAAATTGATTTTTCAATATATCATACAAATAAGTTTCTGTCTCAACCTGATTTTTCTATAGTTTATACAAAGATAAATCAAATTACACTAATTAATTTTTATTCCAGTTTTAGTTTAGTTGGGATAAAAATCACTTTCAACTATGTTAATCCAAACAAGTCATAAGTATCAATCTACATTTAGCAGCCATGGATCTCTATACATTGAATTGATCATGATGTATATATATAATCTTGCATTTGAACATCCTTATGTTTAAAAGAAGTGATATAAGAGATTGCGTTCACATATGTATTTCTAAGCACACACTCAGGTACTACCTCCGGTCCTATTTATAAGATCTTATTTGTAAACTATAAACGAGATCTTATAATTAGAACCGGAGGTAGTACCCTTTTTTCCACCTTTTTTGTTTTAATAAAATGCATCTTCTATTATTGCAAATTTAAATTGACATATATTTTCTAGTTTTAAATGTAAAAACTAGATAACTAATTTATAAAAATAAAAAATAATAAAATTAATTATTTATAATATATATATGTTGGTTTCTGAAAGTTTCGTGTTCAATCATTTGCAATGAAAACTATTCCTACATAAAAACTCTTGTTCAGCATATGTAAAAAAAATTATAATTTTTGAAGGGAAGGTCCCCCTTGAGTCCGTTTTGTACTCTTCCCAGGATCAGCCAACGAACTCAAAAGGCTCAATACATGAACACATATATAATATTCATATAATTCCTATTTGAAGCAAACCCCACGAAACCATCAGAATCATCATCACCATTCCCACCCCATGAAGCTACCCCCCCCCTCTCTCTCATATTCTTCTCTACACAAGCACGCTCATATATATATATATATATATATATGTAGGTATAGTAATTTTCTCTTACATCACCACAAGGCCATCACTTAAGAAGCTTGCCTTATATATTAATGCTTGTTTGTGTGTGTAGCAATAAATAGCAACTAGCTAGATTTGATGATGGCGAAGGACAAAATGAAGAACAATAACAGTAATACTAAGAGCAAGCTGAGGAAAGGGCTGTGGTCGCCGGAGGAAGACGAGAAGCTGATGAGGTACATGGTGACGAA